GGGTGGGAGAGAGGGAGGGGCAGGGGACGCGTTCCGTCGGGGTACTGGGGCTGTGGGACAGGCCGTGGCGCAACGCTGGCTTGGCAACAAGGCGGCGAGCTACCCCATGCACCACGGGGTGGCGCTGCGCGTTGGCCCCCGTGTTGGCTGTGAGCAGCCGTCCACCTTGTTGACGACGAGGATGCGGCCGTCAGGCTCAAAGGTGTGGGCCTGGATCTCCAGGGTGGTGCCAACACTGCCAGTGCGGCGGTTCGGGAGAGAAGGGAGCCAGGAGGAGCGGGTGAGCCGAGCGCGTGGGGGGGAGGGGGACACGGATAAGGGGTTGGCTCGGGCGGCGCAGTAGGGCCATCAGTACAACCGTCCGGCAGCTGTGAGTTTCTGCCGATCACAGCCAGGCAGCAAAGGCTGCGGGAGCCCGGGAGGTGGCGCCCCGCAGCCCCGTGGTCCCGCCTCCCCTTCACCTGGCCATCTCCCCGGTGGTGCTGTCGGTGTAGCACATGCCAAACTTCCGGGTTCCGGCAAAGGGGCTCTCTTTCTGTGGGCCGATGGGTCCAGGATGGCGCAGGGGCTGGGGACGCGCGAGGCACCGCCGCTGGCTGCCGCCCATGAGACCGGCTGCGATGGCCGCTAGAATGACAGCTGGACACCGGCAGGTCACGCCCCTCTGACCCTCTGTACTGCTTTCACTTGCACCAGTGCACATGCGTGCACTGTCGTCCTAGCTTGCCATGTGCCCTCGCATCCGCTTGCCCGATGTTCCCTTGAACAGAACTAGCTGCTTTCCAATCGTGCGCGCGTGCACATGCACACAAGCGCACACACGTTTGCACGCACGCACGCACACACACACACACACACACACACACACAGCCCAACATACGTCTGCGCGGACTGCTCTCCCGCCCACCTGCACCAGGCCGTCCTCTATGTCAGGCAGGCCATCCATGAGGGTGTTGAACAGCACGCGATACCGCGGCTCAAATATCAACAGCGGCGTGACGGCGTGCGGGACGGCCACCACATTCAGTGGGAAGATTGGCAACTCCTTGCGCGACCCAGGCCCCTCGCCAGCGCCAGCCGCGGCCCGCACAACCCGACGGTGTGCGTGCCGCCACGCCTGCACGTCCCATTTTGACGAAGCCCGTTCCGCCACTGAATATGCTAGTGGTCTTTGCATCAGACCCCCAAGCCGTTTCGGCGATCGCAGATCTAACGGGTGATCTCTCACTGCGCGATTTGATACCTATTACCTAGCAAGTGGCAAACCCTTTCATGACACCGTACGGTAAGGCTGAGCAGCCGATTCACTTGGATGGCCATGCGGACCCTCTGTGCTGGTGTGGCGGCATGGCATCGTGGGTGCAGTCGCTCTGTCGCACTGTAGACGCAATTACACACCATTGGGGAGGCACCCTCAATACACCCACAAGAGGTAGTGCGCATGGCAATAACTGGGTACTGTTGCATGCTTGCAAGTCCTGTGTAGACTTGACTGAAGACCAGCCCCTTTGACCTCCTGGCCGTCATTTCTTCTTGGTGGCGCTGCCCGATTTCTTGGCGCTCCCGCCCTTGCCGCCCTTGGCCTTGGCCTCCGCTGCGCGCCGCTTTTTCATGACCTTCCACGCGTTCTGTATGGCGTACGCGGCCGCCTCGCGCCGCAGCTCCGCCATCTCGCGGCGCCGCGCCTCGGCCGCCGCCGCCCGCAGCGCCTCCTCGTGTGCGGCGCGCTCGCGGCGCAGCGCCTCCAGCTCCCCTAGGGCGGCCTGCAGGGGGACAGGGCAGCCGGGGTACCCGGTGAGGGCGCGGCACTCAGCTGCCTGCAACCATGCAGACGTGGATCAGATATACCCGCCAGGTGGATCTCATCCCGCCCCATGATCTCAACCCTGCTTCTGCATGCTGCAATACAATACACCCCGACCCACCCCAACCGCCCGCCCACCTCTATCTGTGACACCAGCTCTTGGTGCGCCGCCTCGGCCGCCCTCAGCTCCCTGTCGCGGCCACCCACCTCCCCGTCGTACTCAGCAATTGCCGCCTCACAGTCGCCCTCCGCGCGGCGGCGCGCCTTGCGGGCGGCAGCGGCGGTGGCGCGCGTGTCCTCGCGCAAAGACGCCAGCTCGCGCTGTGCCGCGTCCAGCTGGTGGGTGAGGGGGACGAGGGGACGGTCGGCAGAGAGCACCATTCCAACAATAGGCGCGTTGCAGAGGCGGTCAACAGGATCTTGGTCATTGTCAACGCGCCGCAGACTTCATAAGAGGGACTGCTGTCAATTACCCTCCAGACCCCGCGCCCTGCACCGCACCTCCTTGCTGAGTGCGCCGTGCTGCTCCCTGAAGGCGCCCTCAGCCGCCGCAACCTGGGCCGCGGTGCTGCTCTCTGCTGTACCGCGTGACGCGTTGCTCTCAACATGAAGGGCGGACAGCTCCCCTGCGGCCGCATCCTGCCAGCAGAGCAGCATCATTGGGGATAATTACCAATCCCGGGGTGACACGGCCATGGTGGTCGCTGGCGTTGTAAACATTGGCAGGCATAAGCCAAACATTGGTAAGAGGGGGACACTCAGCCCCACGCGTTTCGCACCCCAAGCGCCCCTTCCCACCCGCACCTGAGCGGCCTGAAGGATCCCCAGCTGCCGCGCGCGCTCCAGGCGATGGAGCTTCAGCTGGACACATCATGGGCAAAGATTGTTGAGTTGAGCAAGCAATCAGCGGCCTCCACCTGCTGGTGGATATGAACCTGCACCTACCTGCTGCTGCCGCTGCTGCTTCTGCTGCTGCTGCTGGTGCTGCTGCTGCTGCTGCTGGCCTGCCCCCTGGCATCGAGCCCGTGAGCCCGCGCGCACCTTGTGCTCCAGCTGCAGCTTCTCCGCAGCCGCGCGCTCGTGGCGCTCACGCAGTACGCCCTGGTGCTCGCGCCGCGACGCATCCTCTTCCACAGTGGTGCCAAGGCGCCTGCGCACCTGGCCCACCATCTGCGGCGCGACAAGCATTGAAGAGCCGTATGGCAACACGTTGGGCAGTTTTGGCTGTAAGCTGCGTTCATGATGGCCTTACCGAGGCCTTCATAAACAATGCGGGCAGAGGCTGCAAACTGCCCAACTCGACGGTGGCATTTGACCAGGATACCGCCAGTGTCACGGTCCAAGGAAGGGGGGATGGGTTGACGTGTGCGGCCCACCTTGCCGAAGACCTCCAGGGCCTGCATGGCCGCATCAGAGCGCTCTGGCCGCAGCGACGACAGGTGCACCTCTGCCTCAGGCGACGCCTGTGGATTGAGGTGGGGGGCGGGGCGCTGACCATGTGGTGTGTGTCAAGGGCACAACGGCACACGCAGCCACACACATTATGACGCGCTGCATAGGCACTGCCAATGGCGTGCCCGTGTCCATCCGCAAGGAACAGAGGCAGCTTAGCGGCTGGAGCCGCAGCCTCGTCTTCTTCGCGCTCAGCGCTGTCTGTCTCGTCCCAAGCCCCTCGCGTACCCGGAGCGCGCGGAGAAGGGCCAGAGCGGTCTTCACGGCCGCCGCCCCCAGCTCCTCTTGCAACTGCTCCTGTCCCTGTCCCTGCTCCTCTCCTTGCTTCTGCTGCTGCTGCTGCTGCTGCTGCTGCTGCTGCTGCTGCTGCTGCTGCTGCTGCTGCTGCTGCTGCTGCTGGCCCGGCGCCTCTCCCAGCTGCGCCGCAGCCCGCTGCCAGGCGGTGAGCGCCCCGCCGTGGCCCTCCAGCCGGTCACAGACGTCCTGGGTTGGGGGACACAATTCATAGCGGTGACACTTGCGCATTGTCATCTGTGGGATATAGACCAAGCCCACGTCTGAATACGTGCATCAAGCACACCCAACAGGGGCAGGTGTGCGCGCATATCGCGTTGATGCAGCGGCGCCAGGCCACGTCTGCGGCTGTGGCCTATCGCACGGGAGCGGCACACTTGCACGACGCACCTCCCCCAAAACCTCCTGCAGCTGGTCTGATGAGAACAACACCTCCTCAGTGACGTACGATATCAACCTGTGCCGTGTGTTGCGCCCAGCCCCAACGGTCACTGCCATCGACCCAACAACACCTCAAGCAAGTCGCAGCAACAACTCTTCAAAAGACCGATGATGTGCGCCCACCGGAGATTGTCGACCATCTCCTCCAGTACTGTCAGCACGCGGGTTGCCTCCAGGCTATTCATGGCACTGGCACGGCGGCGCCTACTGCAGCGTTGACCTGTCAACGAGTGTGTGGCGAGGGCGATCTACACCTGTACTTTGCGGCAGGAAATTCTTGTCTGGTTGGATGCAGAGTATCATTCGCTTCAGCAGCAGCCACGTACCGGTACAGCTCAAGCTGCACGCTGCGACACAGAAATGAAAATCTTGCGATTCGCGAGGACCTGTGGGGTCGTGGAATGATGAATCTCCAGTGCCCTGATACACCGTATTCCGAAGCGTTCGCTGGGGTAGATCACGATTGAAAGTACAGGCCCGCGATCAGCGACGATCAAGCGCGTCTGTGCCACTTGTGATATACATGAAGTCATATCAGGTGGTGACATGCCAGAGCTTTGAGTGAAATTCTGGTACCCGGACCGCAGCCTCAGGGCCCAAGGGCATGCCCTGCCCCTGCATTATTTGACCGCTGCCGGGCCACACATCAGCCAGGACATTCACGCTGACGTCCTCGTAGGATTGTCAGCAGTTTCCTGCCGGACCCCCTATTTCAAGGTTGCCAGCCAACTGCAGCAGGTCCGGCTAATCCGCTGCCCATGCCGCCTGCACTGCTGGCCGCCTGTGAAGCTTGCTTGTCGACAACTACCCATCAAGTATGAGGGCACCCCTGCGCTGTGAGCGACCTGTGAAGTCTAATTGCAGTGACTAAGCAAGGAGATTTTGTATGAGCGCTGCAGCATACATCAACAAGCCCACTTGCGTGGCCTTGACCACTCCCACACAACACGTCGTCAACAGGGCAATCAAGGTTTGGCTCGTCGCTTGTGTGCGCAGTGATGTAGGACGGATGGGCGCTGCCGGGACCCCAGGTGGTACATGCCACGCATAGCAGCCAAGGTTCATGACTTTGAGTAAAAAGTATCAATGCAGCTGCCGAGCTTTCCCGCGGTGTTGTTCTCTCAGCGCTACAAGCATCTGACATGTTGTAGGTGCCGCTCAAGCAGGCGCAGGAGCACCGTGGATCTGGTGCACCGTAAAAGAACCGTAATCAAGCATCTTATGGGCGAAATATGCGACATGTTACATTCCTTATGCAGCAGGCCGCATGCTTGTCAGAGCGGCATACGTGGGAAAGTGCGAGAGCAATGTGGCTAGGGGGTGCGGCTTGCGGAACGCGGCAGGCAGCGGGCATGGTGTTGTCGCACCAAGCCAAGGACCCCGTGTGCTATTATGCTCCTGGAGCCGTTGCGCCTCGGATACCCTTGTGACCACCAAAAACCCGCTAGCCATCGAAACTCACACAAAGACCTCAAAAGCCGTCGAGCTAAGGAGAGAGCTTGCAGAAACACGCACCCAGAGGCCTGGGCTGGGCGCTGGGCGACACACAAGCATGCGGGCGTGCCTGAAAGACCAAGGCGTGACAAAGAGCGTCGCACGAAGCACCTTGGCCACATTCCATCAGAAGCAAGTCAGTATCAAACGTGCGCTCAGCCATTGCTGGATAAGTGTTGTGAAGGGCGTGCGAATCAGGTTGGCCTTCATATCCAGCCTTTGGGGGGCTGCAGAGACGTCAGAGCGGCAGAGCACGCGCACGGGGGCCCACACGAGCCGTACAAACTGAATAAAGACAGGGGCAGGCAGCAGGGCAGCAGCGCTTGGCTCCTGCACTCCCTACAGCTTGCAGCAAGGACATGCAGCGATTGACAGTGGCAAAGGGCTGTGCTGCATCGCAGCATGGCCCATAATTGCATTCAGCCTAGCTGGCAGGTGTGACCCAATGACGAAGAAATGTGCAGCAGTGAGCGCTACGCACCCGACCGCCCACCGAATGAGTAGGTGGACCCGCTTCACAAGAGGAGTAGCTTTTCTGCTCAATCGCCGCCAGCACACCGAGAATCTCCGGAACCAACGGCCTTTCAAGCAAGTGTGCTCAATTTGTCACCGCGGCTAAGCTTCTAAAAGGAGCCTGGTGTGTGTGAGTGTGCTCTCGCTTGTGTGTGGTAGTGCCAGGCAAGAGGCATCAGTCGGCGTGGAGCACGCCGCCCCCATTGGCCAGCATGGACGTCGCACAATACTCTCGTACACGGCAAGTGGCGGGCCACACGCACGCAAGAACATGCGCGTGCACATGCCACACTAGGCCCTGGTGATGTTATTGGTGAGCGCGGCCCTTCACCACGCCTTCTGCTTGCCGTCCGGCTGGCGGCGGCGCTCCATGTCGCGCTTGCTGGGCAGCTTCACGTCCCAGGCCAGGCCCAGGGCGGCCATGATCCTAATGCAGGTGTACACGATGTCGATCTCCCAGGGCTGTAGGGAGGGGGGTGGTGATGGGAAGAGGGGGTGACGCGAGGAAAGACGGGGTGAGTGCAAGTGAGGGCGAAGGGAAACGCACGAGGGCTGGCGGGGCAACGTCGATGTTGGCACCAGGAAGCGGCACATCGGGGACCACCGCCTGGCAAGGCAGCCGGGCGGCTGGCGTCGCCCGCTGGAAATGCAGCACGCCCGCTCGCCCCGCTGGCTGCCCCGCGGGCAACCCTCCCTGCGCCGTCCCCTTGACTCACGTCGAGGCCGTGCGCCGCGCTGCTGGGGAAGGCGTGGTGCGAGTTGTGCCAGCCCTCCCCGAAGCTGATGAGCGCCACCCACCAGTTGTTGCGGCTGAGGTCGCCTGCGAGGGTGACGGCCGGCACACAGGCGTGGGGGGGCCGCCAGGAGTGTTCGCAGACAAACCGACCGCGCCCGCCCAAGCCGCTGCGGCGCCCGGCGCTGCATACGCTCAGGCGAGGGCACCGTGGCACGCCCCCGTGCACGCACCTGTGTTCCAGGGCTGGCGGCCCCACATGTGCGCCGCGCTGTTGACGAGGAAGGTCTCGTGCCACCCGATGAATGTGGGGAAGGCCATGGACCACACGATGCCGGGGTAGCCAGCCACGGCCTGCGCGGCGCAGCGGCGCACGAGGAATCAGCCGCCCGGATTCAGAGTTTAGGGCTGATGCGCGCCGCGGCCGGCCGGCCACACTCGCACCCGGGAAGCGGGCCGCGTCTCATCCCCCCACCACTGCGCCGCACGCCCGCATGCACGCCAGCAGGCCCCCGCCCCGCGGCTTTGTGCGAGGGGCGCTCACGAATGTCAGGGCGTATCGCGCGACGGCCTGGTGCACCCATGTGGCCTCCATGAGGCGGTAGAAGGCCTGGGCGCTGAGGTCCCTGGCGTTGGCGCGGTCCAGGAAGGAGCGCTCCACGTCAGCCTGGGGGGCGCAGGGGAGATGCCATCAGTGGGGTGAGTAGGGGCCGGCGGAGCGCTCAGGGCCCTTGCTGGAGCCAGGACACGGGCGCTGGGAGTGCGCTGTCATGCGTGTACAAATGCACGCACTCAAGCAGCTGCTGCCGCGGCACGGCCCACGCTCTGCTCCGCAGGCGGATGGAGGGGGACACTGCCCCCCCTGGGGCTTCGCTCGGCTGCTGCCCAGCTGCCACGGCGGCGTCGCTGCCCCTCCGCGCCCTGTCCGCCCGGCCCCCTGTCTGCTTGCCTTCTCGAACAGCCACCCCATGTGGGCGTGGAAGAAGCCCTCATAGGGCGAGTGCGGGTCCAGTGGTGTGTCACAGTGCAGGTGGTGGTACCTGGGGGGTGGGGAGGGGTGAGCGTCAGCGATTCGAGATACCCAGCACTCGCGCTACGAAGGGGAAGAGGAGGGCAGAGGCTTGGCGGGCAGGAGGCCGGCAGTAGCTGCTGCGTCGAGCGACAGGTAACAGGCCGCGCGGCAGCAAGGCGGCGGGCCACTGCGCACGGCTGGTGGTCGCCTGTCCCGGGCCAGCCTGTCCAGGCCACCACATACGCACAACCCTGCTGCTTATTTCTGCCTTGGCCGCCGCCATGACTGCTGCGCGCGGGCCTCCGCAAACCCTGCCTTCCCGCCGGCAGTCCGCCCCGCTGCTGCGGCCGCTCACCGGTGGTTGGACACCCATTCGATGGGGGGCCCCTGGATGGCGTGCACTGCCAGGAAGCTGAGGAAGTACTCCACGGGGCGGTAGGTTTTGAAGGATCGGTGGGCCAGCAGCCTAGGGGGTGGGGGGTGGGGGGCAGCAAGGCAGCGGCATCGTGGAGGGAGGGGACCGGCATCGCAGTTT